CAAGCCAAATAAGCAAGAGCACATGTGAAAAGCCCTTTTTACTCCAGGGCTTCTTGAGATGCAGCCAAACAGCTGGAATTACACGCTTCACTGAGAACTAGAGATGTGGCATGGCAATGGGAAGCTTGGTTTGTATTTGGAAACCAGTTTCCTATTTCCAGAACCAGAGAGGTCAAAAGAGAATAGTGGCTGGTCTGTCCCCTACTGGTAGCTGGAGAGTGTGTGAATGTGTGTGCATACAGGGAAACATTTCATTAAAATCTCTGTCTTCTCTAGCATTTCCCCATTTGCATGTATATTTCAGGCTCCAATTCTAAAGTCAGCCTCTTTCCTCTGCTTTCTTCATTTATCTCTCAGCCCCTTTGCTTTCTCATTTGCCTCCAACAGTAAGTCGAGCTCAATCTGGATAGTAGCTCAGGGTTCTTAATCCACTCACTGTCTTGGGGAGGCCCCCAGATTAAAGCAGGAGAGAGGATATGCTGTGCCACTGTCAGAATGCTGGGTTCTGGAATCTTTTGACTGCATTCATCTTCCTGGTTATGGGAGGGGCTCGGGTTCCTCTTGATTTGGGGGGAACCTGGAGCTGCCAGAGTGCAGCTGGCATTTCACATCTGTTCCAGTAGTGTGCAGCTGCTTAACAAACCACTCCAACCAACTAGCTTAAAACAGCAATTATTTATTTTATTCAATGGAATCTGCAGTTTGAGCAGGGCCCAAAAGGGATAGTTTCCCATCTCTGTTTCCACGTGGCATTTTCTGAATTGACTAAAAGGCAAAGGGTGACTCAACAGCTTGGGGCTGCACTCGTCACACACTGGTTTACTCACTTACGTGGTGTTTCATATTGGCTATTGGCTGGAACCTTAGCTGGAACTGTCAGCTTCTATGCCTACATGTGAATTTTCTGTGGCTGCATGGTGTTCTTACACTGCACGGAGACAGAGTTCCAGGGAAAAATGGCTCAAAAGGCAAGGTGGATGCAAATATGTGGCATTTTTATGACTTAATCACAGAAGTCACTTAATGTCATTTATGCCATCCTCTTTTGGCAAGGTGATTGACAAAGACCCTTCCCACTCAATGGGAAGAGGGTTCAACATCACCGTGTAAGAGTAGTATGTATTGTGTGTAGTGTGCTATGCACTTATTGAAGTATAGTGGTATCTATATTTGGTTTTTTTGTTTTTGGTCTTTTGTTGTTGTTGCTATTGTTGTTTTGCTTTTTTGGTACTGGGGATCAAACTTGGGACCTTGTGCTTGCAAGGCAGGTGGTGGCACCACTGAGCTAAATCCCCAGGCCATGGTACCTATATTTGAAAATATAGTTTGCCACATCTCTTTCCACACTCACAGCCCCTTTCTTTGCCTTTTGTAGGCCTGTGAAATGGAATTTTCAGTAAGGACTTTGTTCTCACATGAGCACTCAAGGTTATACTGTTTCTTAAATTATAAAGTAGGCAAAATGGCTCCAAGGTGCCCCCAGATCCTTGCCCCTGGAGTACACAGTATGTAATCTCCTTGTTTGAGTGTGGGGGACCTGTGAATATGAGGGGATTTTATTGGGATAACTAGGGTATGCATTTCGGCAAGGTAAAGAGATTTTGCAGATGTAATTAATGCTCCTCTTTAGTTACTTTGGGTTAATCAAATGAGAGTCACCCTGATAATGCCAGATAGATCTGATATAACAACAGGCAAGTCTTCTAAAAGAAAATCTGGGTCTGCTATGTAGAGAAAGATCCCGCTGCTGGCTCTGAAGGAATAAACAAGCATGTTGTGGGCTGGCTTTGCATCTATGAGGGTGGTTTCCTCCTAGCTGCTGACAACCCCTGGCTAACGGCCAGCAAGGAAAAAAAAGGGACATCAGTCCTAAACTGAGGAAGCTCAAACTGCAAGGAAATAATTCTGCAAACAACTTGAATGGAGTTGGAAGAATTCCAGATGAGAGCACATTTTGGCAGAATTCTCAATTTCAGCTCTGTGAGACCCTGAGTAGAGAACCCAGCTACTTCCTTTCTGTGATCTTGACCCACAAAAACTATGAGTTAAAACACAGTGAGATGTAAGCCACCAAGTTTATGGTAATTTGTTAAAAAGCATTAGAAATGAACACGAGTCATAACCACTGGCAAGAAACTTTATTAAGTGGGTAACTGGAGAAACAGGGAAGATCCAATAGCAAGACTAAGTGCACAGAGAGACTCGGCTCAGATGTCACTCCTGTGCCATCTTCATGGGTTCCCTTTAGCTAGAAGTAATCTCCTGCAACTGAAATCCTATAGCTTTGTCCCTCTTTTTTGGTTCTTCTTAGATTCTACCTATATTTGTTAGTGCTCCTGCCTTGTCTTCCCGACTGGATCATAAAATCATCTTGATGAAAATAAGCACATTCATATGCTTTTTGAGGAACACCAGCTGATTATTTATTTTTGTAGTGCCAAGGTGCTTAGCATAGTTCTTTGCATCCCAACAAAGGTTTATTGACAATTCATTAAATACTTTTGTCAATGGCAGGGCTTATACTTGTTGAAGTGAACATATTTTGATATGGAGACAATAAAGACATGTTCTTCATGATTACATTAATGGTGTTAGTTTAAAATATCTAAAATATGCAGGCATTCTGTTCCTCAATTAAGCCTGTTCATCCAATGGATTCCAGTTCTCTGAAACTCTGTGCCAAGACAGAATCATGGATCTGAGTAACCTTTTTTTTTTTTTGGTACTAAGAATAGAGGAAATAATTTTTTAAACCACTAGAATTAGGAGGACAGTGGCACCTCGAGAATTAGGACTAGTACTTTTAGAATCAGGGCCACTGTGCTTATGAAAAGTAGGAATGAAATTTCTTCTTGGGCCAGTAAATATAGGTCTATTTATAGAAATATATAGCTTTTTAACTCCTCTTTTAAATGAAGTTTGGGGATACTGAATATAGAGGATGTTTGAGATGACAGACTCTTTTTTTTTTGGTACCAGGGACCAAATTTAGGACCTTGTGCTTGTGAGGCAGGCAGCAGAACCACCAAGCTAAATCTCCCGCCCATGAGATGACAAACTGTTGCTCTGAAGAAGCCAGCAGCCCTGGGTGGGTAGAAGGGTGCTGCTTGGTTAGGGCACTGGTGGGCCTTTACGAGGCTCTCAGAGGCCTCAGGCAGTCCTGTCTAAGGAACTTCATGTAGAGTCATGCCTGAGGGCTTATATACTACAGGGTGCTGGTTTTGGCAGCTTAATAACAAGCATCACCATTAATAACCATCTTCTAGCTTATCTAAAGATAAAATTACAGTGCAGTGAAATATTCTTTTTTGGGACAAGTTATTATGCTTTTTGAGGAACATCAACTGATTGTGTTTGGCTTAAGACTATCTTTTGGAGACTTCCAGATCTTGGGCCTTATAGAAATAGTGAATGGAAAGACTAAATTTACACAGCTTCTAGAGACCTAGAGTTTCACATACATTATCCCGGTGTAGCTTGGGATAAACAAAAGCTCCTTTCCTAACTTGAGCTAACATAGACAATGAAGTTAGAGGCCAGTTGTCAAAGCATGAAAGGCATCCACTTTGTTTGGAAATTAGGAGTATGTATTCCCGAAGTCTTGTTGCCAAATCTCACAAGTCTCTAGAAATCTGGAGCTGACAGGTTAGATCACTACTGGTTAACATCAAGATGGTGCTAGAGCCCTGAGTCAAAATTAATCACACCAGCTGTTCTCTGGTTTGCCCTGCAGTTATTCCCCTGGTCGTTAGTGAAACTGGATGTGACAAAGTCCAGATTTTCTCTTTCATATAGAGGAACAATATGTACTTAGGAGATTAAAGAATCCTTTCCCAACTCTTCTGGCATGGGATCCCATGGTCTGTTTGTTGTATAGACTCAAGACAACCCTTGGAGCTCACTGGGTACTTCCCTTGATCAGTAACTTACATGAAAATTTTTCTGGGGGGAAAAATTGCAGAATCAGATGTAATATTTGGAGATAAGCGAGACAGTACTATGTTAGGTAAAGAATTGTTATCTGATGTTTGGTTCCCCCATTGTAATAGAAGGCTGAAGTGGGTAGGACTAAAAGAAGGGAGATTTGAAGAGTAAGAAAGTTAGGATAAGTGGACTAGGCAAGTGGACCAGGCTCATCCACTTTCTACCTTAGCTTCACTGGAAAAGGTTCCTAAATATGCAGACTTCTTTTCCTAGCCCTAATGAATCACAGTCTGTCAAGGTGTGGCCTAGAGATCTGCATTCAGACAACCAGGTGATTTTGATGCAACTGGGACTCACTGTTTTGGATCCTTGGGGATCCAAACTTTCTTGGAGAGGCTGGGGATGGAGCTCCACTGGGTTCAACCCCCAGCATGGTGAATAAGAGGAGGTAGAGGGGTGTTCTGTTGGAGACCAAGATTTCAAGATTGTTGATGACACCAATATATGGAGTTATACAGGTATTCTGTGCAGATCTTTGTACAAGTACGGGGAGGAAAGGTGGGGAAAGGAAGGTAAGACCTGAGAGACAGGTAGGGGAAGAGTCTCAAGCAAGTAGTCTCTCTACCAAGGTGGATCCCCATTTTGCAGAGCTCATAGCTTATATGATTTGAGGCGTGGAGTCCTCCTTACAAAAACAAATAGTATGAAACTATCAAGAATTAAATAGAATACTATATTTAGATAATAAAAGAAATCTCAGTGAACTGCAATGTTTTATGAAAAATGCCATTAAAATAATAAAATATTTTAATTAGTTACTGAACATACCTTCTTAATAATAACATTAGGCTGTATACACTTTGCTTTGCATTGAACTACATCCCCAGCTCTTATTTTTAAAAATATTTTATTTTGAGACAGTCTCACTAAATTGCCCAGACTAGACTCAAATTTGTGATCCTGGGCTGGGGATTTAGCTCAGTGGTTCCACTGCCTGCTTTGCAAGTGCAAGGACCTAAGTTCAATCCCCAGTAACAAAACAAAACACAATTTGTGATCCTTCTGCTGCACTCTTCCATAGTGCTGGGATTATATGCACCACCATACCTGGCTTAATCGTATTTGAAAAAATTTTCGGACTATTGATAGTAAAGTTTCTTTCAGCTTCACAACTCATTATTGGTAGTGTCTTGTGCATTTTAATGATTACAGTCAAATCTAGAAAAGCTGGTTTTTCATACTGAGCGGTAAGAGTTGAGAGCATTTTTCCATTAAAAAAAATGTTCTTGGTTTTGGCTTCATTCATTTTAATCCCTGCTTCTTTTTCATTACTTGACTAGCTCCAGTGCTGGGTGGCATGGGTCACATTCATCCACAACACCTCTCTGTGCTTCTAGGATGAAATGCTGTGACCTTAGCAGTGGTCCAGGGTGTGCAGGTATCTTAGGTTTCCTCCTTCTCCTCTCATCTACTACCTAGGAATCAAGAAGGTTAGAGTTGCCCCTGACCAGATAGCTGAACTGGTATCCCCCCGGTTAGTTATCCTCCTTCAACTCCCTCTACCAGACCCTGTGAAAGGCAAGAGTTAACTTGTCATATCAGGGTGAAGAGAGAAACTCTTAAGATTTCCCATAAAAGGGGCTGAGAAAAAGAAGTACATGTTTGGCATCAACCTAGAGAGCATAGGTAGGGAAACCCTCAGCAGAGGATCCAGTAGCGAACATGGCTGATGAGAAAATGTTACGAACAGAGAAGCCAGGAGGTGCCAGCAGAGATGAGAGAAGGAACCTGCTGTGGCTTTGGAGGCAGGACTGAGCAGAAGTTCCTGTCTGAGTGATTGACTTTAAGAAAATATCTGGAGAATATCCAGCACCCTTAAACATGTGAGTGTCAAAGAGTATAGACCAGTGGCAGTGAACCTACAGCACATGTACTGCGGTGGGCTCTTTGTACCATTGAGAGCTCAAGGTTCAGCATCACTGTACCCTAATGGAAAGTGGACTCAAATATAGTTGAGAACAATGAAGCCCTTTTCTGCCACAGTTGCCAAGCTAAGTCCCCACCTAAGAGACATTCAGGAACACCAACCTTTTCCGAAGTGGATATTGAGAAGTGAGCCTCATCCAAAAGGACATCCATGTCAAGGATATGGAACTGATAAGATCAATGAAAAAATCACAGTCAACTGTCAGAGGAGTGCCCTGTCTCTCCAGAATGAGCTGGACTTGTTATTCCTGTTGTTCTTATCTACTGGCCAGAAGAAACCTTTGGGAAAGTGGGCTTAGAGTCAACACTATTATGGATTTCAAAACAGAGCTTGGGTCTGTTATTAATTGTGATCCTGGCTACCATGGTGGTTTTAAAAAAAAGAATTTACTTAGAATGGATGTAGTGAGCTAACACTCAAGTTTCCTGGAGGGAATAAGAGTTAGTTCTAGTTGTCTACAGTGGGGACCCACTCATCTGTGCACTCCCTGATTCTTTTTCATTCTCTGCTTTATTTTTCCATCTGTCTTCTAGTGCTTCCAGTTTTTATCTCCCAAATACTGTGTTCCCAAGTCCTCATCTGAAGAGTGAGGAGAACCCAAATTAGGACAAGCAAAAAAGTGGTCCATTTCTACCTTATAGAAATAGACAGTTGCCGTTTATATCCTTTTAGTTCTTTGTTCTTTTGCACTCTCTCTTCACACACACACACACACACACACACACACACACACAGCTCCATATACATTTTCTACTTAGAAGTGACTGGTTGATGTTTTCAACCACACATCATATTTTGCTACTAGTGTTTTTCACTGGATTAATATGGACATTTATCAGGTCAAAGAAATTATGATTTAGAAAATAATTCTGTATCATCCAGAATTATTTTTGGCTGTGTGTTATATTGATTTTGAGATTGCTGATATGGTTTCTCAGAAATAGAAAATTACTTTAATCCAGCCGAGTTCTTTCCAAATAATACATCTTTGAACCATGTATGATTCAACTTTTAGCAAACATTTATAGGAGATTCCTTGGAAGATTCACAGTCCACTCTTTAGATGATGTGGGTCTTATTCTCCAATCCAAATCCAGTAAGTCAGCTGTCATGGGTTGATGTATTTGGCCTTCCTCCATCTGTCACTTCACAGAACTGCTCTTCCTAAATTAAGTTTTGGGATATCATCTAAAGGATGAAATAGCTATAGAAAATGTGTAATGTTTATATTGCTGATAAGCTTAGAACACTGAAGGAAAAGGTTTACTCGAGCCCCAGAGCAGTGAAAAGGAGAACTATCCCTGAGAAACTGGATTTGTCTTACCTTTTATACATTGTCAGATCTGTAACTTTCCCATTCTTATTTTTGCTTTGTTTCATAGGAGACTCAAGCCTAATTCATAATCTGCTTTAGGTAATTATATAAAATCAGTTTACATCACTGGATTCTAACTTTCCTTCTATGTTAATTTATTTCTCTATCTTTCATATGCAGTATTTTCTCCTTATACTTTATTTCCTTCTTTTCAAATTAAAAAAAAAACTACATTGTGCAGGTTTTGTCTCAAAAATAGTTTAAATAATATTCAGCCTGTATATCACTTCCCTTTCCCCACTCTTCCTTCTCCTACCTCTCTGTGGTGGCAAAGACTTCTGTTTGCTTTTTCGGCTTAGAGAGACAAGTATTGAGCTGGACTGTGACCATCAGCAGCACTCAGCCAGCTGTTGATGGACAACTTCAGCCCACAGCTATGTGAACAGCTTTTATCCAGGCATCAGTCTGCTCATGGGAAAGATGAGAAATGGGCTGCATGGGTGGGCATCAAATCTACACAGTCCCCTGGGGGAGAAGTTCAAGCCTGGCTGGACCAGGTGTGCCGCACTTCTGTCTTCTGAGCTAACTCAGAGACCTTGCTAAGGCTGAGCTAACTCATTCAAGTGCATAGATGCTGGGTCCAACAGGCTACACCTCCACCCCTAGTTCGTGACTCCTTCCCCTCGCCTAAGAAAAATCACTCCACCGTGCCTACCGTGAGATATCACCAAATGTTAAATGCTGCTCCCCCATAGTTGTCCCTATATAAGTCTGTGCATTTCCTGAATAAAGTGGAAGCGTTCCAGAAACCTCCCCAGAGACTGCTTGGTGATTCCGCGGCTTACCCTCCCAGTCCAAGCTCCCAAACCTTGTTCTGTGAGCGGGACCACAACAGTCCCCTGGTACTCAGCACCATGATGCTGGCTGCCTTTTTTCAGACCTCTCTCCCCACATCCAGGCCCCATCTCCCACAGGGTCCATGTGGGCCACCCCATTCTCAAGGCAGGAAAGAGGTCACACCACCCATCCCTCTGCTGCCATTTGCTTCCGAGTCTTCTTCATTTCCCTAGATCCTTGCCTACTGGTTCTCAAAACCTTCATTTAGAAGTAAGGGTGAAAAACCCACCTGAGTAGCAACTGTTTTTCTCTTTATTTTTCTTCCAGAAGATTAATTCTCCTGGGCAGTTCGTAGGCCTCAGATGACTAGGGGAAGAAGGAATGGAGAAAGAAAAGAACAGTAACATATTGATCTTAGTTTGCGTAGGTAAATACATCACATATTTATTTAAAAAAAATATATATATATATGTACAATTTAGATAATTGGATTTAAAGATATCCATTTGTATATATGTGTGCCTTCAAGATCTGATCAGGTGGTATTTAGTTTAAAAACTCCGCCACAATTCCTGCTTACTTTTTCTAGGATAAAGTCCAAACTCCCCTGGCATGGTGTCCACACTCTGTGCACTCTGCATCCTCCAGGGCCAAGCCACCAGTCAGTCACCTCACCTCAGGAACCTCATGCTCTAGCCCTTCAGGGGACTTTGTCCTTTTCCACTTCCCTGCCTTTGCATAGACTGCTAACTTTACCTGCAAACTTCAGTCACCCCATCAGCTGGCTGCCTTGAAAGTCCAATTCATGGAATGAACTCACTGTCCCTTCTGAGCTAAGTGCTCTCTAGCTGTGCTTAGCACCATGCAACCAATGCTAAATGAATCCTGCGGAACCTCCATCAAGCCCCCACAGCTCCCGGCTCACTGGTCCCTCATGAGAGTACCTCCCACGTGTGAGCTGTCGTCTCTCATCAAGTCTCAAGGCAGTACCCCCAAAAAGGCATTTCATCATCCTGGCAAATGGTTGCCGCTCAGTGTTTATTGGCTGAATAAATATTTATTTATAGTTTCTATGCATAGGATAATAAGCAGGAAGCAGAGAAATTGAAAGCAATATGTTGGAGGCATTGCCCAAGAAATAGTCATCAGTACCAGTGACAAAGCTTCCTTGGTGAATAAGTCATTCACCAAAGGAATCAGAATTTGCTTTGTGTGGACATAATCACAATTCTTGAGGACGGCAGTAGCTATTTTCCTAGAGTCCTCCCCGCTGTCATCGTGGGTGACATGAGCTTGCAATACTATTACAGCCCTTGTAACTACCACTGCAGTGGGTACCAGGCAAGGAGGCCCAGGGTCACTGCTCCAGCTTGAGGGAGACTCCAGATTTCTGCTGCCCCTCCCAATCATGAGCAGAAGGGGGGGATCCCTGCCTCCCCTTCCACACGTCTATTGTAGCAGGAAATTCAAAGCTGCCTTTCTGATTTCCTACTTGCCTTAGCTCTTTCGCTCTTGTCTGCAACGATAAATGGGTCAAAGGCTATTATCCTTCTGGAGAAGTAGCTTCCAATTTCTATCTTCATTATCATATTTCCAATGAATTCCTCTTCCTTCCTTTTATGAAATTTCTAACATCCAGCCCCAGCACTTGGAACAATGAAAGGTTGATGCAGAGCAGATACCTTGTTGAACAGAATGTGAATCAAAGTATAAATCAGGAGCCGCCTTGAGGAACTAAATGAATGAAGAGTCGACATTCCTTTAGTTGTTTTTCCAACTAGCAATGTCTCCCTCTGACATGTGATGGTTTACATGTGGTCCTGTCTGAGCAAGGGACTTCTTAGGTGATCTGCTCCAATCTTTCTGTCCTGAGGATTCCAGGACAGTAAGCCTGGGTGAAGGACAGGGAAACAGGCGGGTAAAGGAGGAGAGGACTGGCAGGACCTGGCTCCAGAACAGTGAAGTGGAGGGACCTGCTCCAAAGGGTCAGAAGGGTGCCCAAGAGCCAGGAGCCTGCTCAGTGCAGCATCTGGTTTTAAACAACTCTGTTTCAAAACACATGAGAAGCTCTCTGGAAAATGGGAGGGCTCTGGTAGGTCTCACAGGTGAGGAGCAGCAAGTTCTTGCCAACTTGATCCAGAAGCAGGGGATCTATGGAGAGGAGGACAGAAGAGGGCATCAGAAGGAGCAGCTACCACCCAGCCACATTTTCCTTGGTTAAAAACCCTGCTCTGAAGTAAACATGCTTCTGAACACCAGGCATGTTTTTATTCTTTCAGGCTGTTGTGCACATGCAGGCTTATTTCCTGTGAGTGCAATGATTTCCAGGTGCTTGGGTTTGTTTTCAGAGAGGGAATCTTAGAAGCTATTCATAGATTTACAAAGTCTTTGGGATAATGGGATGGAAAAATCAGCTTTGCCCTCTGGTGTTTCTGATGCAGAAACAAGCCTTCCTCCAGGGAAAGGCAGGGAATCACTTTTTTTTTCCTGGCTATTCCCTTAGCCCATGAGAGCCTGGGAGCCAAAAGTGGCCTTCGAATAGATCTACATGTGCAGAAAATCTGCTCTGGTTGGCCCATAGGGAGGTAAATTCAAGGAAGAAGTCTCTAGGAGAGGACCATGGGGCCTTGTGGAGGAGGGAGTAGTTAGCATTTTTAACCTCAAAGGTCTAAAGTCAACTTCAAATGAGACCAAACAGACCATCAGTCTGGAAACAGGCATTCTCTTTTCAGGACCCCAACCTTCCATGGTTCCCAGGGGATTCATGGCATACACAACACTTTGACTTCAGAGCCTCCCTCAACTGGGCCCTTAAATGGAAAAGCTTCCTTATCTGTGAAAGAGGACTGTGAATCTTGGACTCTTGTGAAGTCCACCTAGTAAACCCTTACCAAGGAGAAGGAGGCAGGGCAGAAATGAATACTTTCTAAGGTCACTCCCTTCCAAAGGCTTTCTGAGAAGGACAGATCATGTTTGCTGCTATAGCAACCCTCATGCTTGGTGGTAGGAGGATGATAGGTACAACCACTTGGGAAGACTTATGTAAGAAAGTTAAAAATATGTAAAACCTGCTACCCAGCAATTCCATTGCTAGTTATGTGAAGTATGATTTTAAAAAATGGTGAATATTTAAATTTTTAAAATTTTGTCACAGTAAAAGCCCCATTGACATTAATCCTCCTCAGAATACTCCCCTTTGCTTCAAACACACCTATCCCATCCTTCTCACCACTTTCTGAAGCGGTTCTGGAAGTCCTCTTTCATTTATGCCTCTGACTGAGCTGTCATGGCTGACTTAATGACCTGAATTGACTTGAAGCATTTACTTTTCATGGTCATTTTGATGGAGGGGAAGAACCAGAAGTTGTATGGTACCAGAGCTGGTGAATAAAGTGAATGAGGACCTACCGTAATGTTTTTACTTGAAAGAAATGGCAGTAAACGTTTTGAATCAATTCAGGATGTTAAGGCAGCCACACACACACACACACACACACACACACACACACACACACACAAAAAAAAGACATTCATGAGAGAGAACTTCCACAACTGCCTCTGACATAGCAAAAATGATAGGATAAGTATTCTCAAAGCAATATGTCTTATTATAATTTTTTTTAAATCTAAGTATTCACATAGGGTTTGATCACACTGTGTGGATTGCAGAGCAGAAGTCTTTAATCATTTGTGGTCTCAGGACTCCTTTTTATTCTTAAATATTACTGAGAACCCCAAATAACTTTTGCTCAGGCAAGTTATACTGAGCAATATTTAGCATATTAAAAGTTAAAACTAAGAATTAAAAATAATTCAATGTAACAATAATAGAGGCTGGAGGTATATTTTAGTGTTAAAATACTTGTCCAGCATATGTGAGGCCCTGGGTTCAATCCCCAGTACTACAGAAAAAGTTTATTGAAAACACCCTATATTTTCCAAAACAAATAACAAATAAAACTTAGTGAGGAGAGTGACACTGTTTTGCAGTTTTGCAAGTCTGGCTTCATGGAAGGCTGCTGAATTCTCCTATCTGCATTTGCACTAGTCTGTTGTGTTATCACATATTATGCAGCTGCTGGAAAACTCCACTGTCCACTTGTGAGAGAGTGAGAGTAGAGAAGACAATGTCTTCATATCATTATGGAAATAGTTTTGACTTCACAGACCTCATTGAGAAGATCTTAGGGAGCCCTTAGACATCCCTAGACCACACTTTGAAAATTGCTACTATACAAAAAATTCCACACTTCTATTCCAGGGATAAGTGTATATTATAGCAGGATCATGTTTCCAGAGAAAAAGGAATGGAAATACATACTGAAGAAAAAAAAATATATAAAATTTCCAGTTGTTAGAGAAGCGTTCATGATTTATTTTTAGTGGTACTGGAAACAACCCAGGAACTGAGCTCGCTCTTTCTTTCTTTCTTTTTCTTTTTCTTTTTTATCTTGGGACAGAATCTCACTAAGATGATCAGGCTGGCCTGGAACTTGTGTTTTTTTTTTTCCAGTACTGGGAATCGAACTCAGAAACTTGTGCTTGCCAGGCTGGCATGGCACCACTGAGCTACACTCCCAGCCCTTGGCCTACAACTTGTGATCCTCCTGCTTTGGCTTCCTGAGTTGGAATTTCAGGCATATGCCACTGTACCCAGCACTTCACGATTTTTTAAAAAAGATGATGGAAGATATCCACTTGTTATGACATTTAAATTTTATTTGGATACCTTTAAATGAGTGACACAGAGTTATTTTCTGATGTTTGACTGTGAAAATATTTCAAATTTACACTGGAATTTAATCTTTTGTAGCTATTTAAATTCAAGATAAAATTCTTAAATACCAGTGCAAAACTTTTGAGGGGGTATATAATGGTTCAAAATTCTTTTAGAAGGTGTGCTTATAAAAAGCTTGGAAACCCCAAAACTGGACATTATTTATTATTCCTTCTAACTCTTCAGGTTTTGTGAATATGGCCTAAGAGGTCACTCTAGTGAACAGACACTGCAAATTGCAGGACATTATCCTCTAATGTAAAGGCACACTTACAATTCAGTATCCTAACAAAAGATAATCAAAACAAAAATACAACCCTCATCTCTCTTTCTCATGTGCTGTTGGGGTACACACACACACACACATACACACGCACGCGCGCACACACATAAAAGTCCCCGAAGAGACTTCCACTTACTTGATGGCAGATCTGACACAGGTGGTTCATGAGCCACACTGAAGAGAAAAAAATATAAATGGAGTTAGCAATATGTGGTGGTCTGGCTACTGGAAAATCTCCAGAGGTGAGGATGGCCTCCAAAGGTTCATTAGGTATCAAAATTCCATTTGAAGTTTGTATTGTTGCAGCAGATATCTTCATGGCCTAAGCAACACTCGGCAGAATAAGCTATGTGCACAAAAATCTTGGACAGGAGTTTGGTTTGTTTTTGGTGGAAATCAAGCCAAGAGCTCGAGTTCCACATCTGGATACAGACATAGGAAGACATGGGACAGTACACGTGGGATAGCAAAGTGACTCAAACTGAAAGAATCCAGTGGGAGCATTCACTAGCAGTCAGAGATGATACCTACCAAGAACCTCAGCTACCCCGCCTCTCACCTGGGAATGTACAGCTGTCCAGAGAGCCTGAGCCTTTCCAGCAGAGGGGGTCTGAGGTTAGGGTCCTTTGGCTCTGCATGGACTCCCTGTGGCATCACTCCTGATGTCAAAAATACCTTGGCATTCTCAGTGACAGCGAGAGGGCAGGAAGGACAGAGAAGCCTGAGCAGGCAGGTCTCTGAATGACCTCAAGTTACCACAGCCACCAGCACACTCTGGTGCTGGAGGAAATGGGGAAAATGTTCCCATAAGCCAGTGATTGCTCCCCTTCAAGGGGATTGAATCCCCTCACTGATGTTAAGAGGGCTATGTCATCCTGGTGGGTGAGTGGAGAGGAGGGTGTGCATCACACAGGGAAGCTGGGATTCTAGCTTGACAGCCTTGAGTCAGCTTCCAGTTGGTGAAGGCCAAGCCTCCCTTTCCTCAGGGCTTTTATGCTCAGCTGGTCCTGACTAGGTCAGGTGTGTGGGAGGGGCTGTTGCTCAGCATTGGCCTTGGGACCATTTCAGAGGCTAGCATGAGACACTTATCATCTGGTTTTTGTGCAAGACCCAGGCTGAGGTTGCACAAGAGAATATGAAAAATTCCAGTGAAGGCAGACAGTTTTATTTAGAGAGGGCTCAAACCCTAGGCAGGGTGCTTATGCCTCTCCTTGGCCTTAATGAAGGAAAATACAAGCATTAGTTCAGAGGGGCAAAAAGAAACAGATACTTTCTGTGGGAAGATGTAGGGCTGACTCCAACTCCAAGAGACAGGGTGCAAAAAAAGATAGGGTTTGCATTTTATCTTTTTAACAACCATTCTGCTGTCATTGCTGAAGGCCTCAGAACCTGCTGCCACACACATAGTATATCACAAGGGCAAGCTAAGGGAAAGGTATGAGCCAGCAGTGCTGATGGCCATTGCAGTAAAATTCTAGAGATTTTACACTGTAATGAGGAACAGGGAGCCATTCAAGCATTTAATGAACATTGAATCTCTGATAAAAATCAATCTATAAAAACTTGTAACTCTCAACTTTCATTTTAATGCAACTCATATGACCTTTACCTGCCTGATTCTGTCTTATGAGAATTGTTGGATTTTGACATAATTGTCACAATTGTGTGTACTTCCTGGATCCCTAAGAACACCTGTAAGAGTATATCCACTCCTTTGTATTTAAGGATTCCATATATACAGATCTAACCAACTGCATATGATAAAATACTTAGACAAAGATTTGTGTTTGTACTGAATATACATAAACATTTTTCTTGTCATTTATTCCCTAAACAATACAGTAAAACAAGTATTTACAAGCACTTACATTATATTAGATATTTTGAGCAGTCTAGAGATGATTTAAGGATAGGGGAGGATGTTTATAGATAATATTGAAAATACACCATTTTATATAAAAGACTTGAGCATCTGTGGATTTCAGGATCTGTGGGGAAATTCTGGAACCAATTCCTGTCAGGTACTGAGGGACAATTGTATTGCTGTTTGGGGATAATTTTTAATCATTTAACTTATTAAAATAGTAAATTCTTTGCAAAATTGAGGGATGAAATGAGGCTGCATCTCTTATCTATTCTATTAGTTTTATCTCACTTTATCTCCTCACTTGCAAGAATGGCTTTCTGTCTTTGCTGTGGTCACTACCTTCTGATGAGCCTAAGACATTCATATTCTCAGGATGCTTATCTGAAGCCTGAGACTCAGTCATGGTCTTTTGGGTCACTGATGCCATATCAGACACATGCAGGGAGGCTGCAGCACTCCTTGGCCACCTCCATGCCCAGGGCTCCTGGATGGCTGCTGCAGTAAGAGAGGCTGGAGTGTGGACAGCCAGAAAAGGATTCCCATACATTTTCACTGATGAACTGTAACTTCATGGTCCTGCTTGAGCCCCGGAGCCTGTCCTGGTAGCCTCTCTACATGCTGGAGGCTGGGACTGTCCTTGTTCCTAATCCTGGAGTTTGTGGCCAGCAGCCCTGGTATATACAGCTGTTCTACTGGCAAATGTTCTCTGAGCACATGGCAGGACACGTAGAGACAGTGCTCACGTCTGAGCATCTCATATTGAGGACTGTACTTCCCTTCCCCTGTTGCATTCCTGCAGGGGAAAATTCCTCTGGGCTTCCTCAGAAATGAAGGTCTTAGAATCTGGAATCTGCTAGGCAGCCAAGAGGTGACTTATCTTGAGAACTCTGAACTTAAAAGTAGGCCTTCAGCATAAACACATCTCCCCAGCCCTTACCCAAGCCAAGCTCTGAAAGCATCTGTCTCTTTCTCAGGGGACAGGGTTGCACTGTCTCCATGATGGGAAGCCAGCCATGAATGTCAGTGTGGGTTGTGTCATTTAGGGTTCTACTAGATGCTTTAATGACTCATTCCCCAATTTCAGTGACCTCACATCTTAGAAGTCTACTTGCTTCTTAAATTAGAGTCCAGTGACAGATATCTAGTTAGTGAGTAGCTTCTTGTCATGTTGTAGTTCAGGGGCACATGCAATTTTCCACATATGGCTCTTTCATCTTATAACCTAAAAAGTCTCATATCTAACTGGAAGACATAGAGAAATCACTACCACCACTACCACCACTTCTACTAATACTGGACTATTTTTTCTTCTTCAAATTGTGATAAAATATAAATGATATAAAATTTTTACTTTTTTTTTTTTTTAATGTACTAGGGCTCAAACTTGGATCCTTGTGCTTGCAAGGCAGGTGGCGGAACCACTGAGCTAAATTCCTGGCCCTAAATTTTTACCTTTTTAACCTTTTTTTCAGTATTGGAGATCTATCCCAGGGGCACATTACCACTGAGCTCCATCCCAGCCCCTTTTACTTTTTATTCTGAGACAAGGTCTCACTAGGTCACTAAGTTGCCCAGGCTGGCCTTGAACTTGCTGTCTTCCTGCTTTGGTCTCCTGACTAGCTGGGATTACAGGTGAGAGCCACCATTTTAATCATTTTTTAAATGTCCTGTTCAATTCAGTATAATTACATACTTTGACATTGCTGTGCAAGCATCACCATATCCATCTATGGAACTGTCTTTGTCATTCTAATCAAAACTTTGTACCCATTAAACACTAACTCCCCATTCCTTCCTCTCCCTGGCCACTGGCAGCCACCATTCTACTGTATATCTTTATAAATTTGACTATCCTAGTTGCCTCTTATAAGTGGAATCATAGAGTATTTGTTCTTTTATGATTGGCAATTTTACTTAACATAATGTCTTAAAGGTTCATCCATGCTGTTGCAGGTAGCAGAATTTCCTTCTACAGTATGTATATCCCAGCTTTGTTTATCCATTCATCAGTTAATAGATACTTGGGTTATTTCTGCCTTACAACTATTCACAACTTTATCGTAACAATCCTGACCTGTGAGTGACACTGTCATCCCACAGGAGAACATGTTGCACAGCCCCGCCTACAGGGAAGGGAAACCAGGAAGTGCAATCCCTGGCTGGGAAGCCACTTAGAACCAATCCAGCCTAAGGAAGGTGAGGCACAATTTGCTGATGGGTAACTAACTAGCTGTCCCTACAACTCCTTCACCTTTGCATTTCCTGTAATAGCTACTTATCGTGGCCGGGGCAAAAGTTCTTTCTTTTTCTAGATTCAGTTCCCAACAGGACAAAGATTTTGAGGAATAAAGGCACTTTCCATAAACAGGTACAGCTAACATCTGTGTGGTCTTTTGTAGTTTTCAATGTCCTTTTCATATGATATACTGGTTCAAGTCACCCTGTATACTTTTTCACTGGGTAATATTTGCAGAACCTGTAGCTCTTCAATAAATTCAATAAATAGTGCCTGGTGTGGTGGCACACAACTATAATCCCAGCACTTGGGAGGCTGAGGCAGGAGGTATCACTATGAGTTAGAGACCAGCCTGGGATACATAGTGAGTTCCAGGTCAGTCTTAACTACATAGTGAGACCCTGTCTCAAAAAACCAACCAAACAAACAAATAAAACACACACACACACACACACACACACACACACACACAAACAAAAATAGTGGATATTAATCCAAACAGCAACATGAGTTAGGCATTATTTCCCCATCATACAGGAGCAGATATTGTACCTAATAGAGACAAAAGTAGTTTGCCCAGATTATAAATGGTAATCCCCTCTATGCCTACGTACACCTGTTATTTGGAACCATCATTATGGGTTTGAAAGTAACCTTGGTATCCTTCAAAGGAAATATTCAACTCTCAAACCAAACTCTACTCTCTGAGTATATTAGGGGCTGTGGATCTGAGCTGAGCCCATTGGAGAATGTAACAAAAGAGAAGAGGTCTTTTCAATCTCTGTTCCTGGCCCTCGAGGGCTGTCCAGGGTGCCCTTGAAGCACAAATATCTTCCACTCCTTTGCCACTTCCCAGAAAAATCCACAAAACCCCTCCTGTGTTGTAGGCTCTGGAGGTATACTGGGAATAAAAAAATGACTGCTTCCCTCTAAAGAGTGTATCATTCAAGCCGGGCATTATGGGGCACAGCTATAATCTCAGCACGTAGGAGGATCACCAAGAGTCCAAGGTCTGGACTACATAGTGAGTTCAAGACCAGCCTGAATTACATAGTGAGACCTTGTCCCCCCAGAAATGAATATAAAAAATTTTAAAAAGATTGCCTCAGTCAACCAGTGAGGCAGGCATTTGCACAAATAGCTGTCACACAATGTGGGGAGGCATTTAGAGGCCTACAGAGTGCTTTGAGAATTTCAGTGAGGGGCAATTAATTTTGTCTGACATATTGTAGCAAGTAACAGCAAGATGGTGATGACTGAGATTAGTGTAGGTGGCAAGAGAGGACTGGGGGAGACCTATTTTCGATAGAAGGTAAAACAAAATCTTAGTGATGGCAAAAAGCATGGGGCAAATGATGAAGATGATGAAGAGTAGGCATGTGGGTGAAGAGAACTGAAGGGCAAGTGGGATAAAGCAAGGGCTGAATGGCCTTGATTCTTCAGTTTGGGCAAGGTGGTTTTTAATGGGAGTAATAGGATCAGACCATCTTTTACAAAGCTTTCTCTTGCTGGGGTGAGTAATGAATGATAAACTAAGATAACCCATTTAATTCCAACCTCATTCATTTGCAAAGGGCAAGACCACTCTGATGCCACACAGCAGGCTCACTCTAGGCAAGGATGGAGGAGAGGCCTCTTTAAGACGTTTTTTTCTAGAGTGACACACCCTTTGTCTTTGATAGACTTTCCTTGTTTTTGGCTTGTAGACTAAGCCAAACTCCAGATTGGGTATCATGAAACCAGAGACACTATCTGACACCTGGAAGGACAGAATTAAAGGCTTGGATGCCAGGACTAATGTGGCTTGTCCCTTGGAGTGTGCAGAAGCAGGCAGAGATGTATGGGGAAAGAACATAGGAGAGGTGATAGCAGAATAG